GTTAAGGCCCATCTCAGCCCCTCTACCCCCCACATCAGGAAGAAGCTAATGCTGTCCCTGAGTCTCGGGCACACATGGAGTGGTGCCGCGGGGAATCTGGGACAAATGCTGTCCCAGAGCCATCCAGCCCAGGACCAGGACTGAATTCTGCATTTCAGGACTGTCCCGCCCAATTAGGGACGGGTGGTCACCCCAGGCTTCAGGTGGCATTTCTTCTTCCTGCTCAAAATTTTGCTTGTGTGATCTTTAACCAGAGAATATTGATGGCAATTTTGCAAAGACTTGGACAAGCTATTTCTGAGATATCAACCATAGGGGGGAAAAGAGTTGTTAACCATCTGAAAATTATTTTCATTTTCTTTTATCATGTCACATCCCCAGAACAGTTGCTGACCAAACTGAGGAAATGAAACCGCTGCTAATGAACTTTAGGATCTGTGTCAGCCTGCTGACGGATTTCACTCAAAACTCTTCAAAGGTCAGGGTATGGAAACAAACAATACTAAATACAGTTCATGAAAATTCTAAACCAAAAAACTTTGTTAAACTGGCGTTAAGACTGAAAAAAATAATTGATCCTGTAACTTAAAGAAGGGGGCAAAAAATTGTAGTTGAAAAAATCCAAATAGACTATTATTGGAAATTTCAAAGTAAGATTCAACTTTAAAACATCTCAGTATTTGAAAATACGTAAATTCATAGTTAAGCAACTCTAAGTAGCTTAACTCTGCCTCCATGATCCCCACTAAGCAGAATCTCCATTCAGGCAAGAAATTTAATCAAAGGAAGTTCAACTGGAGATAACCTATATGTCTAGAGGTGCATGAATTGTCATGTCAGTTGTGACTCAGTCTAGTTGGTATATGTGGGATCATGTGCAAAGTAACACTTGCTTAGTAACTGACTGTGGTGTTGTTATTCAAGGAAATGCCTTGTAAGAAGTTACATCACGCTAACCATAAGCAGTGGCTACGATTTCAAATAGCTACCAAGACTGCATACTTCTTAAAGTCCCTAGCCACCAGATTTACAGCTGATAAAATGAAATACTTTTTTTCACATATCAGGGGGTAGCCGTGTTAGTCTGTATCCACAGAAACAATGCAGAGTCCAGTGGCACCTTAAAGACTAACAGATTTATTTGGGCATAAGCTTTCGTGGGTAAAAAAGCCACTTCTTCAGATGCTCCACGAAAGCTTATGCCCAAATAAATCTGTTAGTCTTTAAGGTGCCACCAGACTCCTTGTTGTTTTTTTCACATACAATCACAGAGTCGTAGAACTGGAAGGGATTT